TGAAGATACAGAAGAGTCAGTTTACTACAAAGACTTCTTGTAGAAAATACAGAAGAGTCAGTTTACTACAAAAACGTCTTTCCGAAGACACAAGAGTCAGTTTACTACAACAACTCCTTATTAAAGACACAGAAGAGTCAGTTTACTACAAAGACTTCTTGTAGAAGACCTAGAAGAGTCTTTTACTACAACAACTCCTTATTAAAGACACAGAAGGGTCAGTTTACTACAAAGACTTCTTGTAGAAGACCTAGAAGAGTCAGTTTACTACAACTTCTTATTAAGAGACACAGATGAGTCAGTTTACTACAAAAACTTTTGAAGACATAGAAGAGTCTGTTTACTACAAAAACGTCTTTCTGAAGATGCAGAAGAGTCAGTTTACTACAAAAACGTCTTTCTGAAGACACAAAAGAGTCAGTTTACTACAACTACTTCTTATCAAAGACGCAGAAGAGTCAGTTTACTATAAAACTTATTGAAGACATAGAAGAGTCAGTTACTACAAACAACTCCTTATTAAAGGCACAGAAGAGTCAGTTTACTACAAAGACTTCTTGTAGAATACCTAGAAGAGTCAGTTTACTACAACAACTCTTATTAAAGACACAGATGAGTCAGTTTACTACAAAAACGTTTCTGAAGACACAGAAGAGTCAGTTTACTACAACAACTCCTTATTAAAGACACAGAAGAGTCAGTTTACTACAAAAACTTCTTATTAAAGACACAGAAGAGTCAGTTTACTACAAAGACTTCTTGTAGAAGACCTAGAAGAGTCAGTTTACTACAACAACTCCTTATTAAAGACACAGAAGAGTCAGTTTACTACAAAGACTTCTTGTAGAAGACCTAGAAGAGTCAGTTTACTACAACAACTCCTTATTATAGACACAGAAGAGTCAGTTTACTACAAAAACTTCTTGTAGAAGACCTAGAAGAGTCATTTTACTACAACAACTCCTTATTAAAGACACAGAAGAGTCAGTTTACTACAAAGACTTCTTGTAGAAGACCTAGAAGAGTCAGTTTACTACAACAAACTCCTTATTAAAGACACAGAAGAGTCAGTTTACTACAAAGACTTCTTGTAGAAGACCCTAGAAGAGTCATTTGTTTACCTACAACAACTCCTTATTTATAGACACAGAAGAGTCGGTTTACTACAAAAACTTCTTATCCAAGACAGAAGAGTCAGTTTACTATAAAAACTTCTTACTGAAGACACAGAAGAATTAGTTTACTATAAACACTTCTTATCAAAAAAACTGAACAGTTAGTTTACTATAAAAACCTCTTGAAGATACAGAAGTGACTCTTGTGTGTCTTCTATAAGGAGTTTTTGTAGTAAACTGACTCTTGTGTATCTTCATTAATAAGTTTTTGTAGTAAACTGACTCTTCTGTGTCTTCATAAAAAAGTTTTGTAGTAAACTGACTCTTATGTGTCTTCATAATAAGTTTTTTATAGTAAACTGACTCTTGTATGTCTTCAATAAGAAGTTTTGTAGTAAACTGACTCTTATGTGTCTTCATTAATAAGTTTTTGTAGTAAACTGACTCTTCTGTGTCTTCTAGAAGAAGTTTTTGTAGTAAACTGATTCTTCTGTGTCTTCAATAAGAAGTTTTTGTAGTAAACTGATTCTTCTGTGTCTTCAATAAAAAGTTTTTGTAGTAAACTGACTCTTCTGTGTCTTCAATAAGAAGTTTTTGTAGTAAACTGACTTTTCTGTGTCTTCAAAAAGAAGTTTTTGCAGTAAACTAACTCTTCTATGACTTCGATAAGAAGTTTTTATAGTAAACTGACTCTTATGTGTCTTTGATAAAAGTTTTTGTAGTCAACTGACTCTTTTGGTGTCCCCGATTTGAAGTTTTTGTAGTATTTTACTTAAAAGAAACTTAATTATTATAACTACCTCCTTTCTCTGATAATATATCAAATCATTGTCGGGTTCTAGTAAAAGGCAAAGTTTCACTTACATCTTAACTACATTAAATATGTTTTGTATCGAAATAAATAAACTAGACATGCATGGGACCCTGAATTAAAGCAAATTGCTGGAATTTCCCGTACTGTAATGAACTATTTAAAGAATTTTAAATGTTTTTAGCTTAATTAATCTAACATCAAAATACATACAGCAATTCAATGTTCTCTAATAATAAATAATTATTCAAAAGATTCTATCATAGAATTAAACACACATTTGTTTTTTTAACTTATTTATATGTTCATTGATAACAATCACTAAGTTTAAATAATCACAAATTTATAAAAAAAAACAACAAACTTGATTATAAATAAAATTAAGACTTATCATCGCCAAGTTTGTTTTCCATCTTATGATTGATCTTCTGGTGTCTCATCAAGCTCGCAGCATATTTAAATTTCCTATCACAGTGAGGACATTGTACAGGTTCTACGTCTGCATGGCTCATCATATGCCTCGAAAGTTTAAAACTCGTCACTGAAGGTCTTAAAACAAATCTGACATGTAAAGGGGCGTCCCCCTGAGTGAGTTCTTTCGTGTCTCTGTAAACTACTTGGGTTTTTAAAATACTTTTCACAAAACGAGCATTTATATTTTCTATCAACGTCATGAATTTTGATGTGCTTTTCTAAACCATTAGAGTTTGTATAAGCTTGATCACAAAAGGTGCATTTAAAAGGCCTGTCTTCAGTGTGGCTTTTCATGTGGTTAGTTAAATTACTTGGTTGCGTGAAAACTTTTTCACAATGTGGACACTTAAATGATTTTTCAGCTGAGTGAAGGTACATATGATTCGACAAGCTTGACGCTTGCCTGAAAGACTTAAAACAAATATTACACATAAAGGGCGCTCACCAGTATGCGTTCTGAGGTGCGAGACTAAATTGCTTTTAACTAAGAATGTTCTAATCGCAGATATCGCATTTGTGTGGACGTTCCCCTGTGTGTATTTTCTTATGTTCAGTCAAATGGCCTCGTTGGGAAATGTCTTGCCACATTGTGAACATTTATAAGGCTTTTCAGATGTATGTATTCGATAATGGATTTTTAGGACATGTTTACGACTGAATTGTTTGCCACATACATTGCAGACGTGGGTTTTTTCATTTGTGTGGGTTCTGATGTGTCGTAAAAGAGCATGATTGTATTCGAAGGATTTGTCACAGAAGGTACATTGGAAGGGTTTTTCGTTTATGCTGTTTTGGTCTTGGGAGTCTTCTTCAATGATCTCTTCTTTTATCTCGTACTCTAGAGGATCAAAATTTGTAGAGGTAGTTTCGTCGTCTTCTGAACATATTTCTGATTTGATATTTACTATTTCATGTACAATTTCATTTATTTCATTATTTTGTACACAAGTATCTGTTCTACACATCCATTTTGTGGAGGTTGAAATTACTAAATAAAGGATTTCATTGCACACAACATATAATTTTCGTTATAAATTAATTTAGCTTCATTTTATTACTTAATACAAATTTATCAATACTATAATATAAATATAATAAATTAACTTATTTAATTATAATTATTTTGATTTAATAAATATTTTTATAACCTATGAATATATGAAATGTCAAATTATCAATGATACCAACATATTACATCTAAAAGACAATAGGCAATAGTGGCCAACTTCATAAACATGTCATTAGCTCTGCGGCTTCCAAACTGTGAGGCACGTACATCTGTTTCTAAGACTCTATTTTCCGAAAATAACCCCAAATGTTTTGAAATGTTATGAAAAAATAACAAACTAGTTGGTATTGGTATTTTGCCTCGAGCCAAGTTATGAACTTCCCGATATGTGTAATTAATCGAATTAATCAATAAGAAATAAATTAATTCATAAGTTTATTAAAAGCATTTCGAGTGAATTTATTACTCATAATTGAAAACGAAAGAACAAGTTAACTCGAGCATTTTCTAAAAGCAAATTTTCACAAATCAATCATTTTTATAATTGAACCAGTTTCCGTAGGACTTTAATGATTTAGTATGTTTATTAGGACCAAGTACTCTATCGTTATACCAAGTAATCGTCTAATTTTAACTTTAACAAACGTCAAAAAAATACCCATTTTCTCAAACTTTGATCATTTTTAAAATCAAACTACTTGTCGTAAGGCCGTAATGGTTCAATAAGTTGTATAAGACCATGATATAAATCATCAAAAAAAGTTTCATAAAAATCGGCTCAATTTTTTTTTCAACAACGAATTACAAGAAAACGGCTCGGTAGGTTTTCACCTAAAACTAATCAGTATCATTTCCAACTAATATCTTTCGAACAGTTTTTGATTTTTTAAAATCGATTCGGTAGAATGAGCTTAAATGTGGACGAAAAGTTTAACCATTTTTTCCAAATTTCAAAGAAACGGCTCGGCCGATCGTCGCACAAAAGTGACAAGCGATAGTCCTCATTAAGACACATCAAATGGTTTTTAAATTTCTGAAATCGGTTCAGGCGTTTTTGAGCAATCGTCGATGAAAGATCTAATTTTGATAAATGCCAAAAAAACGATACTAATTTTTGCAAACTTTGACGAATTTTGAATGCTAAACTAGTTGTCGTAGGACCGTAATACTTTAGTATGATGTAGAAGACTATCGCCAAAAAAATAATAATAAAAAACGTCGAAAAAAATTTTTTTAAAACTTTATTACAAGAAAACGGCCCGGCCGATCTTCACCAAAAACTAATCAGCACGATTTCCGACCGATATCCTTCGAACGGTTTTTGAATTTTCAAAATCGATTCAGAATTGCGGGCTAAAACGTAGACGAAAAATTGTTCACTTTTCTGCAATTTGCAAAGAAACAGCTCGGCCGATCGTCCCACTCAGAAACGCTAGTCCCCGTCGAGATACATCGAATGGCTTTTAAATTTTTGAAATCGGTCCAGCCGTTTCTGAGAATTTGTCGATTTACGGCAAAAAATCTGTTCACATACACATACACACACACACACATACTTTTTCCAAATTGGGTCTCATTCGATTCAGAATGGCTTGAAACGTCGAGAAAACATAAAATTAGCGAATCGGATTTTTTGATGAAAACATAAACTTCTCCTTCGGGAAGTTAAAAACTAGTGGTGTATGGCATCGTGCCTTAAGGCAAATTGGTGGAATTTCGTGCAGCGTAACCATATCTTCGAGGGATATTAAATATTTTCAAATAGATTATTATAAATACTGTATTCTCTAATATTTATTTATAAGAATTATATAAACTAAATTACAAATTTATAATTAATCATTTAAAGTATATAAGTGAGCAAAAATAACTTTTATGTTAGCAATTCTGGGATAAAATAGAAATGTTATGTCACGGGTCTAGAATCGTATGAGTTCGTAATCACGAACTAACAACTTTGCTCTTTGATCGATTGTTTCACACGTGAAAGCTAACCTCCAAACGGCATCAACGTGAGAATATTAACTTCAGTTTTCAGTATATATTATCAAAGTGATAATAGAAGGTTGCACTTAATATGTGCTGATCAGTTTCTGGCAAAAACAGGTCTAGTCGTTTCGGAGATATGGATAATAAAATGCAGAAAATAGAAATCGAGTTTTTGAGAGAACGGAGCATCCGATTTGAATGAACCAAAAAACATTTTATTCGTACTGATGGGGAGAAGTGTTAATTAGTTTTTGGGAAAGGCAGGTACAGCCGTTTCGGAGATACCGAGTTTAATGTGCAAAAAATTAGAGAGAACTAAACACCTGATTTGGATGATTCAAAAAACTTTCTGTTTGTGTTGACGAAACAATTGCTTTTGGAAAAAAGATTTTTTTTAATTTTTTTTTTTAATCTTCAAAAAAAATTTTTTTTGATATCGTAAATAATTCGGATTTTAATTTCAATTCTAGCTATAGTTGTAAGGCTCACTAATATACTTCAAATGCTATTCTGTTTCTATAAATTCATATAAATATTAGACAATGCCCTTCATTTTATATTTGATTGATTGATTGAGCTTTGTTTATTTACTTTTCAGTGAACATATATAAGTTACCATTAGCATTTTTTTGCTAATTAAAAAGAAAAGGTTTGACCTTAACGAATTTTATCAAATATTTTTTAAATTTTGGAAATTGGTGTAGCCGTTTTTGAGAAAGCTTCAATGAAAAGTTCACATATGGAATCACACATACTTCTTGGAATCGAGTAATTTAGAATGACTTGATACATCAAAATATCACAAATCGTTTCACACTTGTATTTTCGAAGTTATTAGTATTAACAAAAAAAATTCTGTCACTATGCCAAGTTTCATTAATTAAAAAGAAGCGGTATTGTTGATATTTTCGAAAAACTATTCCGCACAATTATGGCTTATTCATTAATGTTGACAAATTATTTGCATTTTTTGCTAATTATAAAAGAAAAGTTTTGTTTTTAGCGAGTTTTATCAAATGGTTATTAAATTTTTCGAAATCAATGCAGCCGTTTTTGAGAAAGCAAGCGTCGATGAAAAGTTCACATATGGAATCACACATACTTCTTGGAATAAAACGATTTAGAATGACTCGACACATCGAGATATCACAAATCGTATCATACTTGTATTTTCAAAATTAGTAGTATTAACATAGTTTTTCTATCACTAGGCCAAGTTTCATTAGTTAAAATGAAACGGTTTGCTGATTTTTTCGAAAAACTATTTAGCACGATTTCTAACTTATTCTTTATTGTTGTTGAATTATACGCATTTTTTGCTAATTAAAAAGAAATGGTTTGATCTTAACGAATTTTATCAAATATTTTAAAATTTTGGAAATTGGTGTAGCCGTTTTTGAGAAAGCTTCAATAAAAAGTTCACATATGGTATCACACGTACTTCTTGGAATCGAGCAATTTAGAATGACTTGACACATTGAGATATTACAAATCGTATCATACATGTATTTTCGAAATTATTAGTATTAACAAAAATATTCTTTATTACTGTGTAAAGTTTCATTATTTAAAAAGGAGCGGTCTTGTTGATTTTTTCGAAAAACTATTCCGGACGATTTCTGACTTATTCTTCAATTTGCATTTTTTGCTAATTATAAAAGAAAATTTTTGTTTTTAACGAGTTTTATCAAATGGTTATTAAATTTTTCGAAATCTGTGCAGCCGTTTCTAAGAAAGCAAGCGTCAATGAAAAGTTCACATATGGAATCACACATACTTATTGGAATAAAAGATTTAGAATGACTCAATACATCGAGATATCACAAATCGTATCATACTTGTATTTTTGAAATTATTAGTATTAACAAAAAGTTTCTCTATCACTATGCCAAGTTTTATTAATTAAAATAAAACGGTCTTGCCGATTTTTACGTATAACTATTCAGCATGATTTCTAACTTATACTTTAATGTTGACAAATTATTTGCATTTTTTTGCTAATTATAAAAGAAAAGGAAAACCTTAACGATTTTTATCAAATAGTTTTTAAATTTTCTGAATTCGGTGCAGCCGTTTTGGAAAAAGCGTCAATGAAAAGTTTACACATATTGAATCACATATACTTCTTGGAATCACACGATTCATAATGACTTGACACATGGAGATATCACAAATCATATCAAAACTATTCAGCAAGATTTCTAACTTATTATTAATGTTGAGAAATTACTTGCATTTTTTGGTGCAGAAATGATTTGACCTAAACGATTTTTATCAAATGTTTGAGAATGAAAAGTTTATATATAAACGTAGATACATAGTTCTTGGAATCAAACGATTTAGAATGACTTGACACATCGAGATATTACATTTTTTTTTTAATTACAATATTTATTACAACTGTTAAATAGTTAACATCTAGCAATATTGATAAATAAAAACATAAATTTAAATAAATAAGAGTGCAAAGGATAGAAATTACATGAAAATAATATCTCGTATTTTCGATATTGTTAATATTAACAAAAAGTTTCTTTTCTTCCTCAAAGTTTGACAAGCACTAGGTTTTAATATTGCAATGGTGGCAGCACTACTTTTTGACAGACGTTCAACTTCGGCGCCATGTTTGACAGTTGAATGCAAATGTCAAATATTTGTATATTGTTAATTATACTAATAATAATTTATTTATGTATTAAATTTATAAAAATATCTATAACTTGTTAATTGCTAGTACAAAAATAATAAATAATGTCTGAAGACACCGAAGTGATTGCAAGCAATGTCAATACTGATGCAATAGAAAAAGTTCAACCACGAGAGACTCCTGTTACTGTAGACTTAGAGGATTCACAAAGTATTAAATCAGAAATAGATTCTGAGGATGAAATTAGTTTACAAAAATTCATGACATCTGAATTGACTGTAGACGAGGATAAGGTGATAGAATTAAATGTTAAAAAAAAG